GCGCAACAGCAACCTTCTGGGACGATGTGCGGACAACATATGAGAACGATGGTCTAGCACAAGAAGTGTTGCTGAGGAATCTAGAGGCACGGGAAGCTCACCAGAGAGGTGAGCTACCAACGGAAGAGAAAACGGGCTATGCGGAACGCAACGGACTCATCTATTACAAGCAAACGAGGGTGTATGTTCCAAAAGGGGAACTAAGGAAGGTGGCCTTAGAAAAGTGTCATGACGGACCTCTTGTGGGACACGGCGGAGTGCCCAAGACGATAGGCTTACTCAAGAGGAAGTACCATTGGCCAGATATGGCTAAGGACGTCCAAGACTATGTAAGACATGTCCAACATGTCAGCAGGTAAAAGCCGTGACTAAGGCTAGTGGGGGCTTGTTGCAAAGCATCCCAATTCCAGATCGTCCGTGGAAATGTCTTACGATGGACTTCATCACGGGACTCCCCCCAAGCGAGGGGTTTGATGCGATATTCGTGGTGGTGGACCGATTTTCAAAAATGGCACATTTTATGCGCGAGATCTAGTGGAGGAATTTCTGCAAGGCAGAACTCTATGTACTTATGCAAAGTTCAATTAAAAATATCAATTTGCAAAGTTGAGCAAGTGGCATATGTTGGGACCTGAAGGCGCGCCGAAGGTAAGCTAATTAGCATGGGTTGGATAGATCGATCAGGCGTAGGGCACTACGCCCGACTCCACGCAGGGATGTCGAATCCATAGACGTATTCTACGGTGGTTGGGTTCGAGTCCCAACCCCCTAGTAAAGCAAGGCTGGGTTCAAGTCCCGACCCTATACTAGGGCGTGGTGAGGTGAGGGGTATAGGGACACCTATATTCCGTTGTCATGGGCTCTTGGCCGGGGAGGCTAACTTAGGCACACCGCTAAGTGGGGGGATGCCCCCGGAGACATGGTCAACAAGTCGTAGGATAAAACGAGATGTTCGATGCGGGCATCGAACTTCTTCTATGGGTGGTGGAGTTGTAAGGAACCAACTCGCCGAGGTGTCATAAGCTAAAGGAACCCCAAACGCATGACCAAATGTAAGCAACCAAAGAGAACAACTCGAGAGACAATCCATGGGGTTTAAATATAGAGGGAAAGGGCCCATGAACAAGAATGCACCCCCTTTTCCAATCGGTTAAGGGTCTTGGGATATTTGGGGTTAAATGTCCTTGGGTTTGAATAGTACTGGGCTGGGTGACCTCCCGGGAAGTCCAAACTCAGGACCTTACATTTGGTATCAGAGCTAGGTTTCGGGTCCGACTCTGTTGGTTGGCTAGGGGAATCGCACCACATGTTGATTGACATCTGGCTGGTCTAGTTTGCTCCCGCTGGGCTCAACCTGAGGGGTAGGGTGTCAAGAGAGCGGGGTTCTCGGGAGAGCTGCGGCTCTCAGCTTCCATTCACGAGGGCGTGAACTTGCAGGGAAGCGTGGTGGATTGTAAGCAACCAAAGGGAACGACTCAAAAGATGATCCATAGGGGTTCAAATATAGAGGGAAAGGGCCCATGAATAAGAGTGCACCCCCTTTTCCAATCGGTTAAGGGTCTTGGGATATTTGGGGTTAAGCGTCCTTGGGTTTGAATAGTACTGGGCTGAGTGACCTCCCAGGAAGTCTAAACTCAGGAGCTTACACCAAAATAACAAAGAGTTCATCGGATGGGACCAAGTCGAAGATCGAGTCCGAGACCGACTCGGGGACCGAGTTCGAGTCCGAGTTCGAGACCAAGTTCGAGACGGAGTCCAAGATCCGAAATCGGGTCCGAGACCGAGTCCGAGGTCGAGTCCGAGGTCGGGTCCAAGATTGGGTCCGAGATCAAGTCCGAGACCGAATCCGAAATCGGGTCTGAGATCGAGCCAGAGACTAAGTCCAAATACTACTGTGGGCTGCAGGGGGTTCCAAAAGTATAGTAGGGATAGTGAGGTCCAGGAACCAGTCTTGAAGGAACTCTCTAGTGGTGCTTCCAAACTGACTTGAGGTTGAGATTGGGGCCGAGGGGCCTTGGGTGGGAGTGAGCATGGGCTTGAGTGGTGCTGGAGGGGCCACCCAGGGAAGTGCTCAAGAACAACTCCCACTCCCGAAAGGGAAACCGACTGCGGTGCTCCCGGCTCATGTGGAGTGGTGCCCCACTTGAGTACCTTGTGGCTCATTGGTCCTCGCCCTTCCTAGGGGCTTGGGCCTTCCCTTCAGGATGGAAGTGGGGGGGTAGAGGTACCCATACCGGGCCGTTAGGCCACGGTGTTTTGCCCCGACGTCCCAAAGCAAGTGCTACACCCAAGACTTGGGATTTAGAGGGTCCCATGATCAAGTTTTGTGGTACCAAGGGGTGTTAGGAATCTGGAGGCTTGGTGTGCTTGGCTGCTTGTGCCTGTAGGGAGTGTAGCCGAACCTTAAGTCCAGTCTAACCTAGGGAGGGGGATTGGGAAAGATTTGGGGTATCCGTAGATGGATGGCTAACACTTCGTTGCTCGTGCAATGAGTAGCTGAAACCAAGTAGGAGCTGGTACCATAGGCGGGAACCTTGGCGAGGGAACTTAGCACAAGCCAAGGTAGAGTTGGTCGGATAGACGAGGTAAACTAGCAAATTGGAAAGGAAAAATTTGTGGCTTACACTTCACTATATAAACTCTTATATAGTCATGATCCAATACTAACAACAGAGTTGAGTTTACTTTTGATATTGTTACAAGTTGTTTTCATATTTAAACAAAAACATATATTCTATAGATACCAAAATGTTCCAAAAACATATTTATAAATTATGAATACAAGATTAGTCTAAATAAATAACAACCATTATATGGTAGAATATCCTAGAATATCCAAGCATATTTTAGGTATATCCATTACCACCCCAACCAAAAACATATAAATGTAAATATATGTATGCTTATATTTAAAATGTTAATAACAGTTAATCTTAATAACTATTCTTTGACTTTTTCTAGGTCTATATTAGTGTTATATTAATAATTATTATTTATTTAATTTTTATTAATCTTTTTAAAATCTTAATGCTTGAAATTTATTCATATTCTCTAGTAATACCATTCAATTATGAGAAACTTTGCATTAATTCTATATTTTTACTTTTTATTGTGATATGTAGGATTATTAAGACTAATAATACTTATTGTATAAAGTATACAATGCAATATATGGAGACATTATAATTTTTTTAAAATAATTATTAAATTTGAATTGATATTCTTTATGTGTGTGTGTGTGTGTGTGTGTGTGTGTGTGTGTATAAATTTATAAATATCTCTTCTTTGATCCTTGTCATGTATTTCTTAGTAATACTTGCCAACACTGCTATTGTGTTGAGGACTAAAGACCCACCAATAGAGACATATATACATATATATGTATATATGTATATATGTATATATACATATATACATATATATGTATATATGTCTCTATTCTATCTATATATCTTGTCACTAGTATATGAACGATGTAATTCTAATACGGTGAGGAAGCCCCAATGGTCAATGGGACTTAGTTGGTGGGTCTTTAGTCCTCAACACAATGGCAGTGTTGGCAAGTATTACTAAGAAATACATGACAAGGATCAAAGAAGAGATATTTATAAATTAGTGAGAAATGGTCTTTTCTTATGCACCCCTTTTAATCTTTTTTTTAAATAAATAGGTGGTGTCCATTTAATATAATTGACCATTATTGCACAATAGAATGTTGGCCATAGAGTAGGATCATAGGATTAAAATAGAGAATAGTTCCTCTATTCTTTCTGTTTAGAAAAGTATAAACAACCACAGACTAATGATTGTTGCAAAACAAATTAAAATGATCAAAAAATTAAAAAAACTTTACCTTTTAAAAATTAAAAAAACCCTAATAATATAACCTATTCATATTTTGCACTTCCTTTATGAAGCTGGTTTTGAATATGCTCAATTTGATGCAATTATCTACTGCATTGTTTAACACTCATTTTTGAGGCAAAAGAGAATTTAAATTCTTCTTAAGTAGACATAGTGTGAAAGCTAAACATAGAAGGTTCCAACTTGTTGACATTACATTAAAATATTACATGATATTTAGTTCATATACTGGTGACGTTAAGTTAAAATATAGGACATTAAGTTTTGTATCTATCTTGTTTCTGAGTAGATTCGTGCAAGCAATACCCTTCTGATTTTGTCAATCTATACATATTTTAAGAAGAAGAAAAATATTTTATAAAAATTAAAAACTTGCAAAAGTGAAAGATCTGGATTTTCCCATACTAGATACCTATAATTTATCCTTTTATAGTTGTTTGTGTGGAGATTTTGGGTTCCTTGCAATATGCAATATCCTAACCACACCAAAAAGAAGTAGAT